CTTACCTGCACTTCCTAGAAACAGCAAACTTAATGGAGCTTTTAGACTGAAAGCAAATTTTGATCCAAGAAGAGCTATTTGTACATACAGCTGAGTCCATCCAATGACACAGTTTACAGATTTGGTCGTATTTTGTGTAAATGTAACACATTACGCACTTAAGGAATATCACGATACTCCTTGACAGGTAAAACTGTTAATCAGGATGTAATGGGTCACTAGCTACCATACCTTATATTTTACAAACTCATTTTCTATTCTCATCAAGCCAAAGACAAGAATGGCACAGAGCTGCTATCACTGATGCGTACAGAGTAACAGAAGCTCATTTCAATATGTGTGTAAACTCATCACCATTATTATTAATGAAATGTGTATTCTGGTAGCCTCTGGACCCATTAGCTAGGTAGAAACCTCCATTTTGGAAGGCTTTATAAAATGAGAGCTCTTGCTTCACACACTTCACAATAAAGGAATTTTGAAAAGGACCTCATCATAGCCTGCTTTTTAAAAAAAAGTATATTGGGACCCACAAAACACTGTCCATATTTAGTTGCAGGTACAAATTTATGGCAGGGTGAAATCCTGACTTTGTTCAAGTCAACAGCAAAACTATTGCTGGCTTTTTTGGAGCTAATAGGCTTTGCAGGAACCAAAGCTAAAATAATAAATTTAAAATAGGTGAGCACAATCAAGTAGTAAAATACCAAAAGGCTGATGTTCCTGAAACAATGTCCACAAAAATAGTCACTTTTGTATCACAGGGGCAGGCAATATTATAAGCTAGATGGACCAACTGACCGAACACATGACTGATCACTTCTCAGAAGTTACTTGGTAGATGGCTTAATAAAGTAGTGGTCTGGGAATCTGGAAACCTCTCTCAAAGTTAAAACTACAAAAAAGAACTCTCTCCCCGTCATAAAAAATAATTTTCTAAGAAATTCTGCTTCCATTATATTTTAGAGGGATCAAACATAATTTTCAGTGAAAGCAATTTTCTTCTTAAATACAAAAGTGGTGCAACATGGCCCTTTATATGCATGAGAGGGAAAAGTGTAATATTTTAATAACTTTAGGAAGAGGTAGAGAGACTCACTAAACTGAGATCTGAAAGCAACCAACAGTTGCTGTAATACTGAAACATCAGAAGAAACATGCTAACAATTTATAAAAGCTCATTGATAATTGTTTGCTCAGAATTGTACCTTGTAAAAGCCTCTTGTACTTTACACTAGGGCTAACTGTCAAACTGTTTAAAATTAATGTTGGAAAAAAGCAGAAGAGCACAAGTGTTTATTCGTTAATCCTTTCTTTGTGTATCAGGTTACTCGTGATGGACAATGGAAAGAATCTAAAAAATTCTGTTTTTATGAGGAAGTTAGAAATGTGAAGAATTACAGATCACGTAAACAAATATGAATCTCTGACGCATATTAAAATAGTTATAATTTCACAGGCATTATGTAAAACATGAATAAAATACTAATACCACATCCATCACAGGAAACGATCAGTTCTGAAAAATGATGCAACGAGTTTCAAATACCTGCCCTGTAACAGACAAGATCAAAAGGAAAATGAATCATCTTTATTTTGGATTGCCAAATACCACACTGTCACTCGCACCTCTAACTCAATGTTAGTGCTCCCAGGATATGACTGTAGGGCTAATTAAAGCAATGTTTTGTGCTTCCCACAAAAATGTCATAATCATAAAAACAAACCATGTGCATATGTGGCAAATAGTATAAAGCAAGACTGACCTTTTGCGCCTCATGCTAGTGAGCTGGTCAGGACATTTTTAGATGTTGCATCATCATGGCGAGTGAAATGGTTAGGTAATGTCTACAATAAAAAGTCTACACACCTCAGCCCCTTCCTTTAGCTAATGAAGCATACACCCTCAAAGGGAAATACAGACTTGGTGTATGTGGGCGCAACTCCATTGACTTCCATGGAATTATGCCATGTCTGTAACTGGCTAAAATCTCAATTCAGAAGTAGTACTTTTCTTTCTCCTGTGATCTTTTACTAGTCTGTGCTTCAGTTCAGTACAGGCCCCTGCTTGAAGCATTAGAGCAATTTTCCCAAACTGACCCAAAGGAAAGGAAGCATTCATTTAGCCTTTTCCTGAAAGTGCACTGAATACTTGAGGCTGAAATTATTCACACATAAAAAAGGTCTTTCAGACTAATATTCCTGTAGTAGTGGAATTAAAACACATTGAATCCAAGGCAAAATAAAAAAAAATTCAGCTGTTATAAGTTTTGAAGGTATATTCATATTGCTATGCAGTCCCTTTTCTTGGTAAAGAATTGTAGGGTATTGTGAAGAGGATTGGTACTGCAGGGACTGCAGATCATCTTGTTATATCTGAGATAGCTTTAAACTAGCTTGCTTGGGTGCTGCTAGCAGCATGACCAGGATGGCATAGAGTTCAGTGAGGGCTGCAAACCTGCCTGAGAAACTGCATACATACTCAAGCAACTCCCTATTCTTACTACAATAGTTGAAGATAGCATACAGAATACCCATTATTATTGTATATTAATGTGTATTATTATTGTGTATTATTGCTCTCCTGTCTGTGGCTCTTGGTAGAGTCTTGTATACATGAGGCCTAGGACCTGGCCTAAAATTTTGCACTGGGAGGCAGGGGGAAAACAGTATATGCATAAATGATGTCATATAAATGGGAAGCTCAACATGATAGCTAAGCAATAATAAATAGCTAAGTCACTCATATCAGATTCAGGACAACATGCTATTCTTTCCCTCTCTAGATCATGAATGAAAGTATTAAGAACAGGCCTAACACTGATCTCATATAGTATCCCACCAGATATGGTGCCATTTATCATTTGTCTTTGGCTATGGTCTTTTAGACAGTTTTCAACACTCAGCATCCTTAATTGTGTTTTTTCTTAACAGGATTTTTCTGAACAATGTTCTTAACAATGACTGTATATAGCAAGTATTAAGGGTTGTTATTAATAATAAAAATAGAAACAAACCAATGTTTTATGCTGGAATCACACTGGGATAAAGGTTTTAGTTATTTCCCATGCCATTCTTGAGGGTTTTCTTAACATCTGGTTTTCCCCAAGCATGAATAAAGTACTGAACCTGCCAAGATTATTTATACAATTATCTATAATATTAAAAATATTAGCATTTTTGTCCTTACTATAAAAGTGAAAATTCTTTCAAGATGACAGCAGGATCTCAAAGCAGCAGACACAGTCCCACCCAGAAAGCTTTAATTCTTATAGTTACCCAGAATTTGTCATTCTTGAGGCTGCCACAACAAAAAAAATGTGATGTCACATGCCTGGAGTTGGATGAGGGTTGGCAAAAAAAAAAAAAAAAAAAAAATGCTATTAAGAACCACTCTGCAGTGAAGCAAAAGTAATGAAAAATAAAAATCAGCTCTACAGCACATATGGGTAATAATGTTATTACATGCTGCAGGCATACGGGGCGGCTCTTTTCTATGAGATGACACAGTTTCTTCCCCCGCCCACTGAGACTTGAGACTTTGATTGCAATCCAATTCCTCAATCTGATTTCATATGACTGCGGTCTAATTCTGATTTGAATTTGTCACCACTTTCAGTAGCAGACACTAATTCAGCAGTTTTGCTTGGAGACTGGGGAGAGAGATTAAAGGGACTAAATCTGTCAAAGGTTAAAAAAAATACCTGCAGCTGCTTGATATAATCACAATATTTAAGCATGTAGATTAAATAGCAGAGGATGCTTACCACTAATGGGAAGAGTATATAATAGTTGCCAATGAATTTTTGCAACTCCCACTGTAACTCCAGAAAACATTTCTGTGCTCGCCTCCATTCATTTACAGAGGAATGCCCTTCTTGGATGAATCAGTAATGTCTCAGTTCTTTCGGATTCCTCAGTAAGATCGGTGTCTGCTGCAAAATTTAGGTTGGGGGACAGTTGGATTAAATTTAAAGTGTATACATCACAAGTCGGTGTAGTCACGTGATGTTATTACCAATATAGACATAATCCTTCTGTTGTGTTATGCTTTTTAAAGTTAAAATGAAAGCACTTTCCAAAATCTAGAAAGTAAGGGGGCTCCACCTGGCATTGACTATGCAACTGACTACTAATACACCCCTTATGGCTCTATAGGCTAAAAAAATATGATAAAGAGCACCTGACAAGAGACCCTATTTAGATCACAGGTAAAGGTGAAGTGGACTGTCTGTGAGACATGGCACTAAGGTTGCTGACAGACATGGGGAAAAAAGCACTTTACCAGAAGCAGCAACGCATTGCCTTGACCCAGCTCTGCAGCGTCTGTAGAGATTGGGTGCTTCAGTGTGGCATTTTGGTGCTTTTATCTAATAGCTGATTCAATCAGCTATTAGATAAAAGTGCCAAAAACGTGCTACTAAAGAGCCCAATCTCTATAGATATTGGGAAAACTGGGTGCAACTAATGGACTGCCTCTTCTGGGCATGTGCTGGGCCAAGTGAGGGGTGACAAATACATAAAATACTACGGCAATATAACCAGAAACAAAACAAAGCTGGAATCTGTGGGGCAGGATGATGGGGTAAATAGTGCTCTAATTTCTGTTGATTCCTTCTAGGGACTTGGAAGAGACCTGTTCAATACAAACTTGAGTAACTCAGTTAGGAGATAACTAGAGTCCAGACAGCCAGGATCATCTGTGCCAGTTTCTTCTGACGATTTTCTTTAGGGAACCAGCTTAATTTTGACCTATTGGTGCTGTCAACAGCACTTCTTTCTCAGCAATATGAAAGGAAGTCAAGTGGTCTCAAAGAAATAGCAATGACACTGGATTCATTAACTGGTAGGTGGAATCAACCAGTAAGATCAGCTGTATTTATTTCTGAAGTGACCTTTTATGTCATGAAGGAGATAAATTATTTTGATTTCAAATACCAAATGAAGCACAGAGAAAAAGATAAATAAAAAACTGCCTAACACATCTGAAAATAACTTCCTTTACCACATTTGGAGTTTCCTTTATTTGAAAGTCTAGTATGTATGAAAAGCAAAGTCTTTAATGTAAAATGAAACAGACTACTAATGGCATGTCAAAAGTGAAGTATGTCTGTATACAATAAACTTGCACAAAACAAATGCCCACAATTCCCTGTGGAGGCACAAACTTATTACAGGAGCGATCATTCACAATTTAGTTACATTCATGACTATGAGCAAAATACTCATTTTCTTGATTTGAATCTAAAATCTTCTAAACTAAGGCCCCAATCCTACAATCAATAGCGTGCAGGCATAACTTCACTTTCATGCTGTCAGTTGCAAGATCAAAACTTAATACCAGATCAAAAGGACATTATAGTATTATTGGGAGTGTTACCACTCACATCCATGGGTTTTGAATCACAGACACTTATGGTCACACCATTTTGGCCTCCTTACATAGGTGGGAGTTTCACCAAGGGCAGATGGAGTCACGCTGGAGGAAGCAGTGCAGCATTGACCCCTGTATGTTTTAATGAATCCAGTTATGAATAGGGTTGGTTACAGAAGTCTTACTTTGTTTAAGAAAAACAAAAATTGTTTCTGGAATCATAGTAGCTTTGAAGAACAGAAACAATATATATCACAAGTTAGTGCCTGCAATACATATAACTTCAAGATTTTTTGCAGCAGTGTAAAAAGATGTAGTGTTGGTATTTAAACATTTTCATTTCTAGAAACTATGATGTCTGTAAACAGTTACAAAATGTTCAGCAGCACTGTTACAATTTGGTATTGCTAGCTAGCTCTTTTATGCATCCAAACACATTTCCTAAGGCCTAGTTTAGCAGGGCACTTGAGAATGTACTAAGAGGACAGGATGGATTTACATGCATAGTTAATTAAGAGGTTTGTTGAATCAGGGCCTATATTCTGAACCTCTGTGGTGCGTGTGTATGTACATGCATGTGTGTGGTGAAATATTAATAAATTACACAGACATGCTGACATCTTGTAAATATCTCTAATGATGCAATTTTATTATCCTCATTATATTGCCTAAAATATCAGTAATAGGCCCTGGAGACTACAAGGATGACAACATGTGCATAGTTTAAAACTTCTCCACTGATTTTCTTTTTTCCGGTATTGCAAACTAATGATATTAATAAGAAAAAAATCAAATTAAGTCTCCCAAAGAAATTTTTGACTAAACATTTTTCCAGTTCAATCTTCAAACAACCCTGAATATTTTATAATAAAAAAGAGATCTAGAAGTAGCAATCACAAATCAAACAGCACCAGTTTTGCTTAAAGCATCAGTTTCTTTCTTTTGCTCTGCTGTGACTGGTTCTTCCTTTAATAAAGTGCTTAATTGTTTCTGTGCACATGACAGGAACAGTTCCAAACTGGACAGGCTACGCTGACGAGTAACTTGATCGAGCTGTTGAATTAAAATGAGAAAAGAAAGAAAAAAAATCAACGGTAAAAGATATTTGGAATACATATTAAATTACAACACAAATAACAATACAATCCTTTCATAATGAAACACTTTAAAATGCATTTTGAGCACTTAGAATTCTTATACACACTGAAATATTATTACACTATTTCCTATGGATATTTTTCCTAAAATTAAAATGCACAGAAAAGGCTAAGCATAATCTTGCAACACCAGGAGTTGTTTTGTTAGAAAATATTAAGAGGGCCAGACTATTAAATGCAAAACACTGGCAAAACTTACACAATCATACATAGTACTCTAAGGTCGTGTCTCAAACATGGAAATACTAAAGCATGGCGCAGTATGGGTGGTTACAGTGCCATGGGCACTGTGCATAGTTATATTTCACTGCTACATTGCCATAGCAGTGCACTATACCAGGGAAGTGTGCCACCACAATGACACAGCTGCCAATCACGTGTAGACCCACGTGATCACTACGTTGTCATAGCGCACTGTATGGTGACACAGTGCGTCACTATGTTGCCATAGGGTGATGTGTAGATGCGCCCTAAGTGAAAGAAATATGCTAGCCTTTGGCATCTTGGCCTGTGCTCTTTTAAGTGGCCAGCCTCCTCACTAGTAATACTGGTAATGCTTTTCAACAGACCAGACCGAAGTTAATTCCCCTTCCCCAAGTATCCTGCTGAGAACTGTACACAATTAATAATGTGTCTTCAAAAATTACTGATTGATATTTCCCACATAGAAGAGTCCTGCTCCATCAAGAGCTGGACCGTTCCATTAGATGGACCAAATGATGCATCTTACAGTAGAAGCAGAAAAAAACAGAAGAAAATGCCAATATGAACGTTAAAAAAAAATCCACTAGTGCCAAATTACCGCACATGTTCTGATATCCTAAACTATGTTTCTTTTCAGGATGAGTTGTTCTCCTTCCAGATTTGTATTTCCCCTGGTTGAGTTCAAAACTCTTCTGGTGATCTGAAAACATACTAATGGAAAGGTCCTTCATTATACAAAGGACCTTTGTATAATATTTTAATTCCCTTAATATACACCTGAACATTTAAATCGGGGAATCAGTAAGAGTGAAATCCTGGCTACCAGTGATATCAAAGGAAATTTTTACTGTTGGCTTTGAATATACTAGGATTTTACCTTGAGAGTCAGGAAAAAAAGGTTTTTAAAGAAAATGCTTATGGCATAATGGAAGATGATATATGGCAGAGAACTAATTTGGCATTCAATGGGTGTGCAACAGTAGTGAAGTTCACTGAGGAAGGGAGCAAAAAGGATTGAAGTGGGCAGGCAGTAATACAAAGATATATTATCATTTAGGTATTCTTATTCCTTTAAAACAAAAGTTTAGCCATTTAGTTTCCTGGATTCACCAAATTTGTTACTGGCATCTGAATAAAAAACAAACAAGCCAACAAACATCCATAGCTATGTCAGAGTTATGAGGGATGCCACAAGTAATACACAGCACTGTTGACCAGGCAGGAATGATTAAAACCATCCGACTCTGCAATAACTATGCAACTTCCTATTGATTTTTTCCCTCTTTCAGGGACAATGACAACAGAAAGATTCAAACAATTAGGCTCATTGTAATCTGGGAGATAATGCAGCTTCTTAGAAAATATACAAAGACTATTTATTTTAAAAGGAAAAAGGACAGGCTTGGAAAAATCATAGGTATCATAAGGAAACTGATGTCAGGCAAGCTAAAGAGTACAGCAACTTTACTAACCTCTTGACTACCAATATAAATGATGGATTAGCAATCCATGTCTTACTGGCCTCATGTAGGCCAGAGATTAGATCCAGCTTTTGGCAGTAGGGATCAATGGCACATGGCGGTGTGGGCATTTTCTCTGCCCCGTGCTGTGTATTTCTGTGCAGCATCCAGCAGGCAGCCACCTCAGCCTTTTCTACTGTGCCAAGGGCTTCTCTCTTGCCCTACTACTGCAACCTGGGGCAACCCATCAACACTGGTGATGGAAATCATCAGCAACTGGTGGCAATGGGAAGCAAAGGTTGTGGCTGGGGCACTGTATAAGGCATCCGTGGCTTGTGGCTCCAGTTGGGTTACAAATGGCCACTTGCTGTTCTTGAAGGTTGCTGCCCCCCTATGTGAAAGGCTTGTGCTAACAATCAGAGTCTTTTACTGCTTCAGCTATAAAAGATACTTCTACAACAAACTGAACATCACCCTAAAATGTACACTGAAAAAAATTAAACCCTTGTCTTTCAGTTCCAGGAGAAAAGACATTTACTAGTTGTACAGCAAACTTGATGTGACAGGTTTTTATTCACTTGCTGCCTCTTTTCTGAATTTTGATGGAGTCTATTTCTGCCAGGCAGTAGGAACTAAATATTGCATTTCACCAGGGGAATGATCCTGTGCAATTAAACAGACAAATGCAGACTGACAGGATTTGTCAAGATTTAAATGCATGACATGGGAACACAGGTTACAGAAATGCCTTTGAAATTTGTGAATGCTATACTATTAGTAAATGAAATGAGTAGCAGAAAGCCCTTCACTTAAGTTTCAATTTTAAAATATCATGCAAATGATATAACAGCAGAGCAATGCTTTCAACACAGCCATCATTGGTCAGCCACAAATTCCACCAAATGTATGTATAATAAACTGATGGGGGGAGGCTGAGAAGTAGTAGTACAAGCCTTATGGGACAAAAGTTCTGTCACTCAAAAGACAGTAGGTAATATAATTTGGGAGCAATCTAAGTTTGTACCACATCTGGCAAGCTGTGGTAGACCAGTGAATAAGTGGGGTTTCAAACTTCATAATACTAGCAAAGTATCAACCAACATGAGGCCATGTGGCCGTGGCAGGACTAAAGTGGTTAGCATGAAGGAATGGTCATATTTTATAAAACTATGTTACATGCACCATCCATCTAGCACTAATGGTTTTAATTACAGCTTTCAAAAAACCCCCTCAGATCTTGCGGTATGTCTCAGAGTATATATGTAGGCAGCTTGCCATTCAGCCATCATCATAATAATATGCCAAAGGTTTCCATGGGTGTAATATTCTATAATAGACAACAGCTTTTTAAATTTTTAAACCAGAATGTTTAGTGATACTTAGTGTCTGGTACTGTGACTTAGTGAACAATGGTAAGTGTGCTGCTTGTCCTGAAGCAATATTTTGCTAGTTCTTTGCAATACACACCAAACTCTTGTTGTAAACCTTTGAAGTTAATAGCCTTGACTTTCAACAGCCATGACCATCTGTGCTAGCTCCACCCAAACTATAACGTTTCCTGAAAGCCACACCCACCCCTTGCTCTCCTCCAGTTTCTTATATCAGCTTCTGTACAATTCCTCTTGTTTTTTTGTTTCACACATTTCTCCAGCTGCCAAGCAATTTTTTTTTTGCACCCCTTATCAGCTGTCCTGATGCACAACTGGGTCTGAATTTAGCCCATGGTTTATTAGGGGGGTTTTCAACAGATCAAGTTGAAATGCATTACAAGAGGGCAGTTTTTGATAAAATTTGATAATAATAGCTAGTAAAACTTAGGCCCCCTTCTACACATTCTATTTCTTGTGCAATTACCTGGTTAATTGTGCAATAAATTCAGACTGGTTACACATACAGATTAACTACTGTGCCTTAAACAGGTCCAGCCAACTACAAAGTTATTGCTCACAAATGTGTACTAACTTTATACCTGGTTTCTATCCAGCTTTAATTTGCATGTGTAAGCAGTCCTGCTGCTGGAAGACCTCAGCTGCTGCAATCTCCCAGCTGCTGGGGAGCACAATGAACCCCCAGGGGTAGAGGATTGCAACCAATATGGTCTCCAGCTGCAACGGTGCTCTAGGCATTGGCTGGGAGATTGCAGCTGCTGCAGTCTCCCAGCCATTGGGATCTCCCAGCTGCAGGACACTCCACAAGGCCCCACGGCTGGGAGACCACAGCAGTACCTCACAGCTGTGTGGACTGAGAGTCCCACAGCTGATGGGGCTCTTGGTCCCAGATTCATGCAGTCCCTGCAGCTGGGGAAGCACTGTCACTGCACTGGCAATAAAGTGCTATTGGAATGAATGTACAATCCCACAATCACACCTCCTACCATATGTGTGTAGCGTGGCAGGAGGCATAATTGTGTGGCTTGCACATTAGACCCCATCATGCCTTTACCTACACGCGTAGAGAAGGCCTAACCATCGATGAGGGGTTTAGCCAATAGCAAGGTAAACCCTGAAGGAGCAGCCTTTACATGGGACAAACTGGACAAGAGGACCAAATAAAAGCCTGTCATAGCAACAGCTCACATCACTTTGGGGATCTTGCCTCATTTCTCTTCTGCTTTCCCCCAACCCAAAACACTGGAGAGGATGATTTGCAGAGTAGCCTATACAGGGAATCTTGCAGAAGTGTTCTGTGCCTCATACCCTCTACCCCTGGATCCCCCATGAGAGGGAGATACAGCCCAACTTACACTGGATTATCTGTTTCATCTTAGCAGGGAATATTTGAGACCCATTTCTCTAGAAATATCAGTAAGTCATCACGTTCCCCACACTCTAGTGTATGTATCAGTTGGATATGCTTAGTATGAAACTGATTTTCAACAGTTTCTCTTTCATGGGACATTATATCATGAACACTTACAGCTTGTCCTTTACTGAGGCAGCAAGGGCTTTGGCTAAACTTTCCATTTTGTTTTCTTTCAACCTGATCTTTCATATTCTATTTCATGTAGATGAAAGAAGCCCTCCAGATGTGTGATATGTGACACAACAGTGGTAACTTTCTTATTTAGGGTAGCAATCTCAATGTGTATACTTTCGCATTTGTCTCACCAAGTATTAATGTAAATGTCTCCTGCCTGTTGTAATTTGGAAGATTCTGAACAGAATGGCATATCTTTGTCCTCTGAGGTGAAAGCTTTTGATTTTAAAGGTCTGAGGTGAATAAGCTATAATTC